AAACCCAAATGTGGTTAGAATGAAACAGTAGTAGACACAGCTGTAAAACACCAACTTCTAATATGTTTTCAGAAAGAGAAAAACAACATCTGCCAAGTTTAACAAAAGCCTGAGCAGGATGTTGACAACCCTTCCATTGGACCAAGTTTCTTTAGATGTGGAAATCCTATGTTAAAGTCTCCAAGATGTGGCTGGGAAATACTAACAGTTAATTTCTTAATGAACAAATTTTTAATGAGTGTCTTCTAAGTACCCAGATACTACTACAGGCCCTGAGGATATAGCAAAGAACAAGATAAACAAATCTCTGCTCACATGGTGCTTATGTACTAGTGTGGGGAGACTGCAATAATTTAATAAGGAAAATAATAGTTGGTGACCAATGCTCTGATGAGAAATTACTATAACATGATAATTTAAGTGGATAGCTACTCTAAACTGACTGAACAGGAAGGGCTTCCTATTCAGTATGTTTGAACTTAGCTCTTAATGTCAAGAAAAGGCCAACCATTCAAAATTCAGGACAGCCCAGAAAGGAAGAGTAATAGCTAGTGCAAATGGATAAGACAGAATGAGCTTGGTCAGTTGCGGCACAGTATGAAGGCTGGTGTGGCTGGTACAGAATAACCTAGAGGAGAGTAAGTAGGTTCCAGCAGATAGCAACCATGGTAAGCAGTCTGGGGGGGAAGCCACTGACAGGTTTAAGCAGGAATGTGATGTGACTGATCACTACAGCTGCTGAGTGAAGAACAGAGGGACAAGATGGAAGTTGGGAGCACTGTTAGTTTACTGCAGAGGTTTAGGCAAGTGAGGATGACAGCACATATTCAGATGATGTAAACAAACAAGCAAAAAAATAATAATAAAAGGAAAAATAAATTCAGGATGTGTTTTGGAGACAGAGACAAGACTGGATAGATCAGATGTAACGGGTGAAAAAAGTAAATGAATAAATCAGAATATTCCTAGGCCTTTGAGAAATTGGTTAATTGGTGACTGAATTTACTGAGATAGGGAAGTCTGGAGAAAAAGCAGCTTTGGGGAAAAATTCAGGAGTTGGGCCTCATTTACATTTAACATTTTCGTCAAATAAGTAAAGACTTCAAGAAGACAGCCAGGTATATGAGCCTTGTGTTCTAAGGCCAAGTATGAGTATCTAGGAAGAGACTGTTCTGAAAAGTCCAATGGTGCAACCAGATTATTTGCATCTCGGAGTAGTCAGTGTTCTTTAGAACAGTACACTTTGCAAGACTGAGAGTTAACAGAAAATTTGACAACAATGACATATACAAACAAAAGGTTTTTTAAACTATTATTTTAGAGATGAAATTGCTATCATTGATAATTAAATAACTTTGAGAAATGTAAGTGCACAGACTGGCTTCCTAACTGCCTGTCTATGAATTTCTGCCTCTCCACTTACCAACTGAATAACATTGGGCAAATCACTTAACTACTTAGGGCCTCAATTTCCTCCTTAAAAAAAAAGGAGATAATAGTACCTATATCACGGTTATAGAATAATCTGTGAAGATTAAATGAGCCAGTACATGGAATGCAATCAAAACAGTATCTGGCAAAGAGTCACCACTCAACAAGCGCAAATCAGTATCGTTACCTGCGATCTCCCTGCACTGTACACAGAAATGTCTTCATACTTCAGTTTTCTAGTTAGATGCTGAGTAAGATGGCATCAAAGGTTTAGAATAAGCCAGGGAAGCATATGAAAAACCCTCCTCAAAAGAAGTGGAAGCGAAGAGTCCTGCAGTTTGCTAAAAATATTCTGTTTAAAAGTACGTTATATATGTGCCAGTCATTCCTAAATCCATGTCTCCAGATGTAACCCTGGAGCTGCAGACTCGTAAACCCAGCTGTCCACTGGACTCTTGACTTGATAATTTAGTGGGCATATTATTGGAATAAAAAGGGAAAACAATCAGTGTTCTCTTCAGTAAGTGAATGACTGACTGCCTCCAACAGCAGGAATTCTCCGCTCTGCTCCGTAAGTCAAAAAAACCGTAATGTGAGTAACATTCAGCTTCACACTGGGAAAGTTTGGTCAACTGCACCTGGTCACTTTAGCATTGCTGCTCCTGCTGCTATGTCACTTCAGTCGTGCCCGACTCTGTGCGACCCCGTAGACGGCAGCCTACCAGGTTCTGCCGTCCTCAGGATTCTCCAGGCAAGAACACTGGAGTGGGTTGCCATTTCCTTTTCCAATGCATGAAAGTGAAAAGTGAAAGTGAGGTCGCTCAGTTGTGTCCGACTCTTCCCGACCCCATGGACTGCAGCCCACCAGGCTGCTCCGTCCCTGGGATTTTCCAGGCAAGAGGACTGGGGTGGGGTGCCACTGCCTTCTCTGCACTTTAGCACTAATGTTTTGGAGCCATGATTCTGCTGCATGTACTGTTTACTGTATGTACTGCAGTAATTATGTGTTACGTAGGATTATGTATGGTTGTTTAGTCACCAAATCATATCCCACTCTGCAACCCCAGGGACTACAGCATGCAAGTCAATAATTTCTTAAGGTAGGCAAGGAATAAAGCAGAGCAGAAGGAAATAAGTGAAATGAAATACTAGAAATCACTAGAGGATTCCTAGGTTCTGTTGCCTGAGGCAGACTGCACAGCGCCCACCTCAGCAGAGCCAACTCTGGGTTGCCTTGTCCTGGGCCATGACTCCAATCCCCAACGATGGTGCCAACAGGGTAACCAGACATCTCAAGCAGACAGTCCCAGCAAAATTCTAAGGCATGGCTTTCCACTCTCAAAAGTGTCTAGACTGGATGAGAAATTGTATGTCTACCTGTGCGCATTATCAGCAGAAGTCCTGTAGCATGCATTCACTCATTCAGCTACCTACTAAACATCTACTAAGTGCCAGGTCCCATGTGGGGCTCCAGTATGATTCAGGATTCTAGCAAAGGCATACCTTGGAGATTTTTCAGTTGAGTTCCAGACCACCACAATAAAGTGAGTATCACAATAAAGACAGTCACATGAATTTTTTGGTTTCCCAGTGTGTATAAAAGTTACATTTCACTATTCTGTAGTCTATTAAGTGTGCAATGGCATTACATATAAAAAGAGTACATACCTTAAGTAAAAAATAATTTATTGCCAAAAAAGGCTAACCAACACAGGGTCAATGCAAACCTTCAATTATTTAAAAAAATGTAGTATCTGTGAAGCACAACAAAGTGCCAAAAAAAGGAATGACTCTAGAAAAACAACAGGTTATGAAAAGCAACTGCTGCTGCTGCTAAGTCGCTTCAGATGTGTCCGACTCTGTGCGACCCCATAGACAGCAGCCTACCAGGCTCCTCTGTCCATGGGATTTTCCAGGCAAGAGAACTGGAGTGGGATGGCATTGCCTTCTCCATGAAAAGCCAAAAGATGTATGCAAAAACAGGTCATATGTAGATCAAGACCTTTAGTAATGGACTCTGAATTACAAAGCACATCCAAGAAGTCATGAAATATAATTCACACATTTTAGACTGATGTTCCTCTATTAACACTGGTAGGATTAGGAAACCTGAAACCTGTGATTTCTTCTGAATCAGAAACATTATTCAGATTAGTTAGACAAATCACCAGTAACTAATCAACCAAGCAGATCTCAAGGAAGCACATACACTTACCATTCTTCAAAGCAGGTAACAAAGCAAAGGCCTCTGATAAATTTAACACTGGCAATTTTCAAAGCTCAGGCTTACAGTTAGAAGGAACCTAAAAAGTAGGGTGATCCTGGAGACTACAACATACCTTGACGGGAATCCTGGCAACTTAGATGAGAGAGGCTGTAACACTTCACAGTTCTATCTAGATTCAAAGTTTAAAACTCTTGGTTGGTAAGACCCTTAAAAAGGTGATCTCTAAGGATCCCTCACTTTACAGTTTGTGACACTGAGGACCAGAGAAACCACACAGTAATGTGAGAAAAATTTGACCTTGAAAGTCAGGTGCTCTTGACTAACCTCTTGCCAGATCTCTCCCTTGTCTGTCATTCAAACATGAAGGTAACACTTACCTTTTAGGCATGTTATGAATATTAAATTGAAATGCTTACCTTTGAGGCATGTTATGAATATTAAATGAAAATGCTTACTTTTTAAGCATGTTATGAAGATTAAATGAATTCATATTTATGAAAACATCTGGCATACAGTAGATACTCAATACATGTTAATTTCCTTCTTTTCAAAGGGTGACTAACTTCAGAGACACATAGCTGGCAATGGGCAAGAGAAAGGACTAGAACCAAGAATTAAGATCCCCTTCACCACTCAAAAAATTTTTACTTCTTAATTAGCCTTTATTCTTGAATCATGCCATGAAATATAGTTTTTAACACCTCAGTTATGAGAGGCAGGGGTTATTAAACGTGAGATACCACAACAGGAAAAAAAATGTATCTGTGCCTTCAAGTACATACATCTGCTAAAACCAAAGTCACAAAAAGAGTCAAGAAGTTTAATCAAGGAAGTATTATATTGTCAACCTCTGTAAAAATACCATCTGCTCTGGATGTACCTAAAGACTGTCCTTCTGGAAACAATGCTGTAGAAAATAGAATTCTGTTGTTTTTAATGGCTATTTCTCAACTGATATTTCAACATTAGTGTTTGTAGCAAATATGTATCAACTGTCAATCACGTGCAAGGCCCTGTGAACTCTACAGACATAAATCAGGCTCTGGCTTTTTCTTCAAAAAATCTTAGAATCTTGTAAAGAAGAGAGGCAGACCTTGAAGAATGATTTTTTTTAAAAAATTGTATATTAAGCCAGGGACTTGAAAAATTCAAGGCCAGCTTGTGATTAGAAGTTATTTAATGCTTTATTTAATGCTATCTACTCAAGAATAAAATGTTCACTGCACTGGCAGTGGGTACACACAGCATAATAAACACTATTCAAATTGTGTTAACTGAATTATAGTCTTGTTTCTGACACCAACCAGCTTTGTGAAATTGTCATGTTATTTGATATCTTTAGGTCTCATGTTCCTCAGCTGTCAAATGCGTGAGTCCAAGCTAATCTCCAGGTTCTAAGTCGCAGGTTCTAAGAGTCCAAATTTGATGATGGTGATGATGATGATGATGATGATGATGATGATGATGATGACAGCAAGAAAATCTAAAGCTTTTATTTACTGCGCACATGTTATGTACCAGGCACTGTGCTAAAGGGCATCATTTGTGTTATCTTCATTTAATCTTCACGACAATCGTACAAAACTGGCATCATTACCCTTATTTTACGGACGACGGAAAGGAAGTGAAACAGTATTAAAAGGCTGTAGGAGCGACCTAACAGAAGCAGTCTGAATCTAACCCAGGAGTTAACCTCTAACCGCTACGCTCAAACTCCTAGTCTCCACATAAACTGTCTTATCCATCAAGAAATAAGGAAAAAAAACAGCTTGGGAAGGGACTCCTCCTGGGTAGAGGGCAGATCTGGGTTACTGTCACACTTGTCTGTTTCACGTGTTAGTAGATCTCTTGCCCTACCTGCTCCGCAGCGCTCGCGCGCTCCCACAGAGGCGCGTACCGCCGCGGGACTGACCGCGGCGACAGCCAGCGGCTGCGCCGGCCCGGGCTGAGGCTCACGGAAGGGCTGGGGGTGCGGGAGGCCCCGCAGGAGCGCGGGCAGAGTGGGTACCTGGGCTGCTGGCTGCTCCTGCCGCCTTGTTCTCCCACCACTCGTCTCCAAGGTCGTCTGCCATCTCCACGCGGGACTCAGCCGGGGCGGACCACAAGGGACGAGCAGGCGCTAGCCGGGATTCGCGCTGCCTCAGAGCCGGGTAGCGGGTCTCGCAGCACGCGGAGCCTCTCTTCAGACACGGTCGCCTCCGCCCCGTGGCGATGACGTCATAACATCGGCCCCGCCTCCCCGGCCGCCGCGTCCAGCTCGTCGCAGTTTCTACAACAGTGTGGAGGAGCAGGATCAGTTTGAAGACTTAAAATAAACCCCTACAAAAGCCAAAAGAAGAGAAGACACGTAAGCAAAAATAAAAGTGTGTCAACTTTTTAAATGATTATTTTAAAGCTTTTTGTTTAGGTTTTATTCCTGCCGAATAGATATTGTCGAATGTGGGAGACAGAATGCTAAGACAGTTTTTTTCCATTCAGTTTCAAAGGCTTTGGGTCGCGGGAGAAGACCGTAGCACGTGGATGTGTTTTCTTAAGTATGTTACAGTTTGGGCGTCAGTCTTTTGCACTGTTTGCTTTTTTAAAAAACGTACCCAAGTCATGACCATGAATTTTGGACCTTTGTGGTAGATGAGAGTACTGTTGTTCTTGTTTTTTAATACGGTATGAGGGAAGAAAATGTTTACTGGTCCAGAAGGGATTGCCCACGGACAGACCCGAGAAGTCAGAGTTTCAGAGTCGACTTCCCCACGTGCCCTTCGCTTGCGCCGACCCCTCTCGGTTTTGTGAAACAAGGGAAGAAGAAAGGAGCCAATTGCTGCCCAAGTTTGGGTAACAGACCTACAATGCTGGTCTCACGTCCTGAAGTGGCAGAGATGGCCGCTTGGCGCCTTGTGCTGGGGCCAGCTGGAAACTAAGTGTGGACGATACTTTTCAGGACAGACACTGAGGTGAAAGCCATACAGAAATGCATTAAATACACGCGGTGTGCCTGGCACGGTGTTTTGAATACTGGTTTAAAGATGAATAGGATATGATCCCGCCTTCCAGATTTCACCAACTTGAGAAATTACTGCAGGTAAGAGTAAAGGTCTAAACTAATGATGGGAATGCATTCTCAGAAAGTACCGAGACTCTCAATTTGATGAGGATGAATCAGAATCAGTTCAGTCACTCAGTCGTGTCCGACTCTGCAACCTCATGGACTACAGCAAGCCAGGGTTCCCTGTCCATCACCAACTCCCAGAGCTTACTCAAACTCATGTCCTTAGAGGTGGTGGATGCCATCCAACTATCTCATTCTCTGACATCCCCTTCTCCTGCCTTCAATCTTTGCCATGCAGCATCAATCAGGGTCTTTTCCAATGAGTCAGTTCTTCAAATCAGGTGGCCAAAGTATTGGGAGTTTCAGCTTCAGCATCAGTCTTTTCAGTGAATGTTCAGGACTGATCTCCTTTAGGATGGGCTGGTTGGATCTCCTTACAGTCCAGGGGACTCTCAAGAGTCTTCTACAACACCACACTTCAAAAACATCAATTCTTCGGTGCTCAGTTTTCTTCACAGTCCAACTCTCACATTCATACATGACCACTGGAAAAACCATAGCCTTGACTAGACGGACCTTTGTTGGCAAAGTAATGTCTCTGCTTTTTAATATGCT